ACCCAGGCAGTTCCATCTCCACTTGAGGAAGAACTTCTTTCCTGTGGGGGTGCCAGAGCCCTGGAACAGGCTGCCCAGGGAGGCTGTGGAGTCTCCTTCCCTGGAGGTCTTCCCAACCCACCTGGATGCGACCGGGTGCCCCGTGCTCTGGGTGTCCCTGCTGGAGCAGGGGGTTGGACTGGATGATCTCTAGAGGTTCCTGCCAACCTCAACCATTCTGTAATTCTTACTGTGATGTTTCTGCTTTATATCTTTCAGTCTTGTTTTCAAAATCCACTACATATTTTTACAAACATTGCATCTGCTCCGTCACTGTTAGCAGCTCTTGGCTCCAGCTGGTCCATCTCCCATTCAGTGATCCCATTTTTGCATAGGAGGGGAGCATCTTATTGGAGACCTTTATCTGGAAATAGTCCATGTCAGTCTCAGTCTTTACGTCGTCTCAGCTGAGCTTGATCAGACCCTCTGAGAGCTTCCTCAGCAGCTGCCAGTGATGGCAGACAAATCCGATTGCAAATAATTTGTGAGAGCAGACTTGATGTGAAAGCACTCGGGAAACAAACTCAGATACAACCAGGATCTGCAGCAATGCAATTTTTTTTTTATATTTGCCTTAACCTCCTGCTTAATCCTGTAGATTTTGCTGAGCTCCAGCATGTCTTTTTGATCCCATTTTGTCCCATTTTGATTGGAATCTTATTTGACGTCTGATCAGGCATGAGCACGGGAAAACTCTTTCTCTGGTGAACTGTCTCTGCTGTTTAAAAGCATGCTATTTATATAAATTATTGAGCTTGCTGATGGCAGCTTCAAGTAACGAGTCCTCCTTTTGTCTTGACTAGCYGGATTACAGAGTCCTTTATGATCACACTTTTTCCCTTTGGAAAATTATGGGTCTACTGTCAAGGAACTAACTACGTGACATTCCTACTGTCTTTTTATAMGCTTTTTTTTTTGCCCCAGACCCTAAATGAACTCCTTTTGCCTTTCTGGGTGTCTCGGTTTTCTTCAACACTAAAGAGGCTGAAGACCCTTTAGTGCTAAAAGCTGCTTGTTTGGGGACAGTCTGATTTTGCAGAGTTTACTGCCCTGGAGGTCATGTTGAATTCACACATGTTGATACGTTCAGACTTTTGGATCACTTGAGGCATTTTAAACCGTCCAAAGGTATTTTAAGAACATACAATACATTAAAGCGCGTGTGCATTTTGTTTCCTTTTAATAGGGCTTGCGACAGCCCCCGCCTGACTCCCAAGAGGCAGAAGTAGCTGCTTTTTGCACTGAATGGAGAAAAAAACTGTGGTGGCACAGGGCCAGAGAGTCTTTAAACTCAGACCGGGATGAATTAGGGCTCCGCAAGACCCGGGCAAGGCCTGAACCCACACTCCGAGCTATGGTTCAAGAGCGCTCACCTCAGAACAAGAGCATCACCAGGCATCCAGAAGCTGTTAGAAGACAGCCCCAAGATTAGGGGAGACTTGTGCTAGGAGTGARTTGCTTCGGTAGAAAATTATCCTCTCCTGCACTTCTCGCAACTTCTCTTCTGCTAGGACTGCTCTCCCAGGAGGATGGAGAGGAGCAAGGTCTTGAAGAGGAGGAACATGATACCACACACACACGTCTGTTTTCTCTGAGGCCTTGAATCCACAAGTTAAGCAGTAACATCACACTGAGTCACAGAGGACACGGGACCTGGGGAAGGGCCTTTGGAGGAGCTAAAAGTCCCAGTGAAAGGAAAAACAGGGAGTTCTCACTTGAGTAAAATACCAGTATGTTCTAATCTTTGATATCTGACATGGAGGACCTTCTGAAACTGTAGTTGGGGGGCTGTAAGGAAGAGGTTCAAACCTTTTGGAATCAAGGGCCACCAGGAGGAGCGACGTGGAAATGACATTTGTAATATGAATCCATGCATATCCCTTAGCAGGGGTGAGCCAGCCTGTGGATAAATCCCATGCCCCACTCTGGATAGGTTCAGCAGGATTGCCAAGGTCAGAGATTGCCGTCATTGCGCAAAAACTGCTAGAGCCCCTCGCTAGAACAGTGCATGAGAAGATGCTTTGAAGGACCMGGCATCGCTTCTGAGAGGGATCACGTGAAAGGAATATGGGCACCAGGGGCTTGCCACGCTGAGGATAGGACAAACGCAGGCAGTTCTGTACTGGCTACATGAAGAATATCCTGGGCAGTTCGGTACAGAAGTCAGGGAAGAGGTGGCAGATGGAAAGGTGCTGGTGTTCCTGGGTGTAGACCAAGAGCTTCAAGGATATCCCTGTAGGAGAAATCTACTGCGAGTCTCGCAGGCGCAGTAGAGCTTTGCTGAGACACCCCGTGCTAAGCAGGGGTCTCTGTCCTGGGGCCGCTGCAGTTGAGGTGGTTTAAGGACTCTTAAGAATGTTCCTCATTGTGAGGTTTGAAGGTTTCATTGAGAACGTTTTGCCCTGAAAACAGGGCTAGGAAGAAAACAGAAACAGAACTTTTGTCAAAACCTCATGGGAAACTGAGTAGTTTTTAAGGGCAGCCTGTCTTGGGCATGTAGTTGGATCCTGCCCCTCCTTCTGGTGAAGGTGACAGCGCTGAGGAGGGATGTCCTCAGAAGATGTTAAACCCACCAGTTTCAAAGGCTGCCCCAGAAAAGCTGCGCGTGAGGAGCAATTGGATAGACGGCCTGAAAGAATCTGAGYGCAGTAAGGTGAGAAAAGAGCTAAGATCCAACTAGAAGATAGTGCACAGGCATTACCTGAGACTCTGTTTCTTCAGCTCAGGATATTTGAGATCATGGGACTAGTACCTACCAAGGTAAAAACCTAGTCTGTTTGGCCAAATATATATTTAATGCCACCCTTCCTGTGAGTTGTGAAGACTTTCCACGCTGAGAGGCAGAAGGAGAGGGGCAGAGGTGGGGCTCAAAGGCAGATAGGAATTCAGAGGGTAACACGGACAAAAACCAGGTTCCAAAAACGGCTGCAGGAAGGAACTGAATGAAAAGAAAGACTAAGGGAGAGTGTTACTGACTCTGGAAATATAACAGTTAAATATTCTCTACCTTCCAAGAATAAAATAATAGAACGGGTTTCCTAGAGAGTCTACAAATCTCTGTAAGGCTATTTTTAGCATAAGGCAGCAAACACTAAGGAATGATCTAGGAATCCTCATTCCCAGAGGGCAGGTAAGACCAGAGATGCGAATTTTAGTCTCTATTCCACTTAAATAAAACCTCTTTTGTATCTCTAGAGCTTGCAAGAGCCAGGAACCTTTGTGTTTTACCTGCTGTCCCCGACTCAGCAGATCCTACAGAGCAACGAGACATTCCTCCCGAGRTCTGAACTGCTAAGACACAAGGCCAGAGTAAAACATGCAGTGGTGATCATCACCCACCTGAGAACTCCAGGCTGCTGGAGAATGCGGGATGAGTGACACTGGCTGCTGCTGCTGCTGCTCTCCATACCCTTGTTTCACCATTTCTGCGACACGGGTTTTGAGCGTTTGAGCAAGCCTGCCCTGTGAAAGACAGAATTACCCCATAGAGCAGATTGGAGCCAACTTGCTGAGCAGCTGGTCTGCTCCAGCTGGTGCTGGTAGGGCCGGACTGGCCACGCACCCACCTTCCTGACCCACCTGCTCCGCTCAGACCCCTCCAGCAGCGTCCCCGTTCAATCAGCAGTGCAGGAATCCGGGAGCACGGGCAGGTGGAGGAGCTGCACCGAGGCCCGCTGATGCTCGTGCTGCTCTGGAGGAGCATTTTCTCCTTCTCCTTCTCCATCTTCTTKTCCAAAATTAAGCTCTACGAACATTAAAAACACTAACACACAAGGGAGGCTTCAGAGTTAGAAACTACCCCTCTGGTTTCCCCCACCAGAGCACAACTCCAAAGCCTGTCAGTAGCTTTTGGGTGAAACGCGTGTGTGCTGTGTAAAGACTCCCTGCCTAAACGTTACTGCTGCAAGCAGTGGAGAATCTTCCACTTAAATAAGCTGCTTCAGGAGTGTCCTCACTGCCCTAGAGAGGTCATGTCTGTAGGTTAGGGCTGCCCATCCTACAAGGGAGCTTTAAAGCTTTCCGTATCTAAATGTGAAAACCTGCATTTGGCTCCTCAGGCAACACACAACTGCCCCCTCTTCTTTGTGTTCCCCTGTATATCCAGCTTTTTTTATCCCAGTTGTCTTGTTTTCTTATAAAACCCTTAGAAACCCAACTTTATCACCTTGAAGTTGTCAAGAATTAGGTGGGAATCATAGGAMAAATCACTAGGAAAAAGCCTGAGCTTGGCAATGCGGCTTGTCCTCCTGGCCGCGTTACTGCTGCTCTCCAAAGGATCTGGGACAAACCTGCTGTCGCAGCTGGAACCGCTCCCTGGGCCAAAGAAACGGAGCAGAAACAGGCGGAGATCCCGCGAGGAGGAAACGTCACAGAAAGGAGCAGCCCAAGCGGGCGGGCGGGAAGCAGAGGACGACTGAGCAAATGTTCMTTTTAAAGGTAGCAAGCTCGGCGTAACTACAGCTCTGGGGGATAAAAAGCAAGCCGAGAGGTAAAACAAGAGGCTGTAAGGAGCGTTGTGCTCCGGGCATGCAGCAACTTCAAAAATTAAAGCACATGCACGACATTTCTGAGAGGGACAGTAATTGTACGATGAGAGCGGCGATGGCTCGCGCCAAACCAGCAGCCTGGTCATGAAACCACTCACCAAGTTGCGGCTCCTTTGGGATTTGACACAAATTTAATTAAAAAAAAMCCCCACTGCGATCTGCCTGCCAAGTGGTATTAGCAGCTGTCTGTACTAAGAGACATCCAAGCACCTTCATTCCCGTTTCATCCCTCCTGTCGTTTCCCTAGGCCAAGGGAAAGAGCTGCAAACGTGTCGACATCACAGTCACCACCAGGCTTGAACTGTACCCTTTTTAATTGTTTTGTTAAAAATGTCATAAAGACACAATGAATACAAGTACTGCAGTTACATCAATACAAAAAAGCAATACAAATTAAGCAGCGGAATACAAAAATACATTGAAATACATGAACACCACAATGTAACTTAGAGCACTAATCAGAATTGTGTATGCGTGGAAAAAAAAATTAAATAAAAACCTTTTTTTTTTGTATTAGCTTAGGTATTCTCCACTTTAACAGTAACTTTCTTCTAGTTATGTACTGCACAATTTCTTCTATATACAGTATAGAATAAAATACTTTTGAAAGATATGACATTTGTACTCCTCAATATGTGATATAGGTATCTTTTACGCTAAGAATATCGACTGCATGAATAAAAACCAATGTCTTACATCAACTGATCGGAAAAGTAGGCTCACCATTTTCCTTTTAACTCATTTAGGTACATTTCAGTTAGTACGTTTGGCTTGATGCATCAGACAATCCTTGTCAAACAGTGTCTCTCACAGTAATGTACATAATATTGCTTGTGTCTATACAATCATACAAATGTGGCAATCATATCTAAATGTTGTTTATGAAAGAGACAGCTCACACATATACAGGTCTTCAGACTTTCTTAATGACTTATTTACAATGAAAGTGCTTTTATCAGCTCTAACACGATACGTTTTTTTTTTCTACATGTCAATTATTAGTCTCCCTGAAATTGGAAAAGTATTATATAGAAAATACCACAGCTTTGCAAACACTATAGCATACTGTATAACTGCATGTGGTTCTGAGATTAGCAGCTGAAAAGTGTTGATAATTATAATTTAAAAATAAATAAAGCAAAGAGGTAAACCAGTTACAAAACAGCAGAGAACTGCAATATTCACAACAGTAAAAAGACAAAATCAATTGCTAACAAAACGGTGAAGCAGTTGGGTCAAAAGTCTTGAAAACATCTTTTAATGACTTATCATCCGATTCCCCATTTGGGTCGTTCTCCTGTGTTTGATTTACCTGTCCAGGCTGTCGAACCTGCCTTGGATCACTGTACTGTGGTCTGATCAAGCCTGACAAAGCTTGGATAGGGAGATTATGCACTGCAGGCGCGGCGCTGGAGTGTTTAGCCTGAGATTTCCCGCTGCTGTTTGCTTTATCTGAAGGGGGTTCTGCTGATGCTTCTGGGGTTTTTTCCACGCTGGAGGCAGCCTTCTGCAGCACTGACTCTTCCGAGAGACTGGCCTCATTTTTACCAGAATTTTTCAAAATACTTTTTTTCTGATTCTCTCCGTTCTCCCCCGAACTAGCCGGAGTTGTGTCCAGTGATGAGCTGTGGTCTCTTGGATCATACAAACTAATCCCACTAAGTATGGACCCCGGGCTTCCCAGCTTGACGCCGCTCGATGACAACTTGGGTGCGTACGGAGGCAGAGCATCGGGGTCGGCTTTCGAAGTCGCGGCTTCYGAGGACTGCGAGGAGCTGGCAGCAGATCTAGAGAGGCGAGGGTCAAACTTGGGGGGGTGCGAATCCTTGGCGAGTCCATGATGTGCGTCTGTGCTAGACAGTCTGTGGAGTCTGGGATCGACGTTTTTCTGCAAGCGGGGGTCTCCTAATTTGCTCGAGCTACTGGCATGCGAGTCTRCAGGCTGATCCAAATAGCCACTTCTGCCCGTTAAGTTGGTTTTTGCCTTTGCAGCTAGCCTGGGGTCAGCTGGCATTGCATTTGGATGGGGATCGTTTTTTAAATTCCGCAGTTTATTAAGTCTCTGGTCAGCAATGAGCGGAGGAAGAGGTAAGTTAATCGACGAGACCGGGTCGGGTTTAGGCAAAGGTATCGGGAGCAAGTCTTCAGGAGCCCATACAATATGTTTAGCAAAGTTTGGCTTCATCAGGGTAACATCCATTTTAATGTGGCTGAACTGCCTCAGCTGAGAGCGCGGATCCCTCAGCGTCACCCCGGGTAACGGCTCCAAGGGGATGAGGAAAGCTCGCTCCCTCAGCTCTCTTTCCGAATCCTCTTCGTCATCGTCCATGCCTTTCTGCTTGACTTTAACGCCCGCGTGCACGTGCTGCAAGTCCAGCTTGGCTCCCGCAAGGGACGAGCTGCCGTGGGCCCCTTCGCTCACCTTGAGCATCCTGGGGTCCCGCGCGAGCCGCGGGTCCAAGGCCGCGGACTCCGACGGCTTCCTGGGGGCTGACCTCGGAGAGGCCCTAAGCCTCGGGTCAGCAGCCTGGGGGCCTTTGTCTTTCGCCAGCCTTGGGTCGGTGGGAATGCCAAGCATGTGCTGCTCTGCGGAATGCTGCTGCCGGCTCCGGAAACTTTCACTTTGCTTCTTCAAAGTTTTGAGTATTGATTTAACGCTGCTCCCCTCTTCCTCTTCGCTGCTGGAGTACCAGTTTACATTGTCATCTGAAAAAAAAAAAGAACACATATTTATATATTAGAAACATCGTGTTTCTCAGAATGTATATGTATTTTCAAGCAAATGATCACTGGGAAATGAGCCAAAACATGCATTGCTATCAATGAGTAACATCTAAAAAAAAAAAAAAAATGGAATCTAGATCTACTATTATAATTCACTGCATTATAACAACTTTGGTCTAAAGTGAAGAAGATGGGGTTAAATGAACTATTGAAATAACAACAAAAAATGAGTCGAGATACACTGAATCTCTACTTAACTCTATGTAAAACTCAGTATGAGATGCACATGAAAATATATAATCTGAGAAAATAACACTCTYTCAAACAATTATTTCTACCTATACTAGTTAAAAAAACCCCACTGAATATTTAAAATTGGAGTCTCAATGAAGGAGTCCTTCCTTGCTGTAAGAGGAGGACACGTTGGATGGAACCTGATACTTGCCTTGACAACACATCGATTACAAATGCTGAATAGCAGCTTCATTATSGTCCAAATCACAAGGTTTTGGGGAGCGGTCAATATTCATCAAGGGTGGTAAGAACATTTAATTTTGAAGAATAAAGTCTCAGTGTCCCCTGCAGTTTATTGGAAGGCAATACAGCACAAGCATCATTTACACAGCTGCATGCTCAGGTCCGGTGGGAGACCCCTGGTCTGCTCTGGCTCAGTAAGCTCAGAACAGAAGKGCACTGTCAGCCCCACGACCTAACCCACACGAGGTTTCCATGCTGTGTCACGTAAATCACAGACTCACAGAGTGGTTAAGGTTAGAAGGGACCTCTAGAGATCACCTAGTCCAACCCTCCTGCTCTAGCAGGGTCACCTAAATACTCCACAAAAGGCAGCAACAGGATGAAGCTACAAGGAGGCTGCTGAGAGGAACGTTTTTCTGTTACACTGCTCGTGAAATCCCTTTAAGTGGGAGGAGCAGTCCCTTCAAAGCACTGGTGAGAACTGTCCAGTTAGGGCAGGTTACTCTGGTTTTCTTGGAAACCCTAGGTTTTCCAGGGCTGCATCTCCACATCTCGCTCGTCATTTGAGCAGAATTACATGGCAGTATCACTGTGGTCATTTGATACAGCAGAAGATGCACTTTGCTCATACGACCAAAACATTTCCAGGAGCAGCAGGGAGCAAGCCAAGGGACCAGCACATTCTGTCTGACTGAATCTGATCTGCAGATTGAACTGCTTTGTTCTAGACTAAAGATGTGCTCAATATGAATGTTTCAAATCTCAGAAAAATTAGCTTTACCTTCTTCTTTGCTCATTGCTCTCTGACCCTGGCTGCTCATAGAGTCTCCATCCTCTTGGTGCTTTTGACTAAGTCTTACATAAAGGGCTTTCTGCATTGCTGGCAGGAAATCCGGCACATTAATGGCTGGTTTATGGCCCATTTTACCCATGCAGTCTGACTCACTTCCACCGGCATGCGACTCTTGAGCCATAAGGTGAGCCTGATGATCTGCAAACTCGCCATGCCACGTTCCATCTGCAGCACCAAAAAAACTCGTTAGCTGAAATCCTACATAAACTTCCRCAGCACAAGAGTTAAAACATGAAACACTTAAACCAAAATTAGGCTCAATTATATTCTGTATGATTAGGAAGCACCAGCTGGAAAAAAACCACCCCATACACATTGAAGACATTTCAGGAGAAATGGACTTGTCTCCAATATTCTTTCAGGGTTCAGCTTTGGGGACACAATGCCTTGATGCCACCCAACTACCAAGTGTCATGTTAAGGAAGAACTGTTTGGAAAAGAGCTTACCACCAGAGTTATTAGACGGCTGGAAGTTGTGTACGGCTTGATGAGAATAATAATTGTCATAGAAGTCTGCTGGGTTCTGAATAGGCTCATAATTCATATTCGGCTGCCTTTCACCAGGCATTTGCTGATACTGTGGCCCTGGAGGACAATGATTATCTCTTGGCATATTCATCATATGTCCTTGAACTCCTGGGGCATTGTAAGATCCACCAAGGCCTGATGGTGTTAGAGGTGGGCCACCTTGCTGTGCTTGCATAGGCATACCAGTCTGGTTCTGTGGTCCTAGAAAGCCTGGTGGCACACCCTGCATAGGAGGACTATGTGGCATTCCTGGCCCTTGAGGCCCGCCACACGGATGATGGCCAGGAGAACCAGGGTGCATCGGTGGTCCGTTGTGTCCTTGGGACATGCCGGGTCCCGGCCCGGGACTCGAACCTGGATTGTACATATGCTGAGAGTGGGGGTCATTCCCCTGAAATGGTGGTCTTGGCGGTGACGAGCTGTTATAGAAGGTTGGTGGTCTGTAAGAAGAAAAAAAATATGTAAAAAAACCACATTTTGCATCTCCACAGATCAACAGCCTGTTACCTATCTCCTACCTCCTCTTACAGATGTCTACTCAAACTCAGCTGATCAAGACTTCCATAGAAGTCTGAAAGAGGCAAAATAATTTTCAGCAGTAATACCTGCCTACATTACAAATACATCATAACATCATACTAGAACTTGTCTACACAACTTGTCTGAAAGCAGAACTCTTTTTTTTTTCCAGTACTGGCACATGGAAAACCGAACATATGCTGAAATTAATAGTTTTGAACATCTCAGGGACAACAGTCTCCATGAGGAGCCACCACTGGCTTCAGTCAAGAAAAAGTTAACCCTAAAAGATTCCAGAAGGCGAAGGAACTTTGTTCAGATGCAAAGAGATAGGCAAGACAGGCACACAGCCAAAACCAGAACTAATGGAGTGAGTTTCTGGAAGCTCACGGCTCAGAAACAGCTGTTTCCCATGGAAAGCATTTAATAAGTAAATAATTATGATAACCAATATATGACACATCATTAACTTTGCAATACACTCAAGAAGCATATGCTTTCCACAGAAGTACTGCCAACCGTTCAAATCACCGTGTTTCTTTTTCTAAAGGACTCTACAGAAAATACTGAGACCTACTTTTTTCCAATTTTGTGCGCTAAATCCACTGTCGGCTTCACAACTATTTCAAAGAGAGACGGGATTTTCTTATACTCTCCTGAAGGATCTTGAAAGTTTTCTATATCCGACTCAGAAAACGGATATTGCTCAGGTGGGGTAGGCAGAAGTCCCACACCGGGGGGTGGCTTAGGGAGAGGAACTATGCCACGTTTTCTAAGTTCTTCCAGTTCYTTCTCATCTTCATTTTGTGGTTCCTCCTCATTATTCAAAACCTAAAACAAAGACATGTAGAACACCCTTGATTAAATTTGCAGCTTATACAGTTTAACCTAGTCTTGCTTTTTTTTCATTTGAACGTAATTGCCTGCAACAACGCTGCTATCTATGGATACCAAATTCAGCTGAAATATCAATCTATCATTACTTTTGCCCTATAGCATGTTGATTTAACGGCCAGGAAGAAAATTTAGTTTTTGTAACCAGGAAAGTACAATTTTATAAAGGTCTGTTTCAGTTGACCTGGAATTTTAGGTGAAAGAATTACTTATTCTAAAATTCATAATGTTTTCAGGGTTAAATTTGTGTCACTTTACTGCTAAAACTTGTTGCAGAGTCACTGGAGAGATCTGTGAAGCATTCATAGGAATCACCCTGTTCCTTTCCACACCTTATGTGCGACAGTAACTCAGATGACATCCTGACTTCTGGAAAGCTAAAGCTAGACATCATTTTAGCAACTTCTTCCCCCTGGCTCACACTGAAACTTCCTGCCCAACATTTTAGAAACAGATCTCATTTACAGACCACGAATTACCTTATCCAACAGCTCCTTGGTTTCCGCAGTCAGGGGAGCATGAGAAAATTTGCACTTATCTCCTTGATAGCATTTTGCTCCTGTATGGTAGAACTTGCAAGGGAATTCATGTAAGCAATCTATTAAGGATTCTTAGCAAAAGTTTGCCTGTGGTTTGCATTATTTGGCAAATTTACAGAATTTATCTTTCAGCTATCCTTCAGTTCTTCCTTAGCATAAATCACTCCAAAGCAATGTCTTAAGAATTTTGTAAGCTARTGACTATCTTACCTCTCAGTTTCATTTAACATCCTACTAATAGCTACATTACCATGGCCTGAACATTATTTTTGACTTGATCCTAATATTGTCACTAAGTTGTTGATGGTCTCAGTTTCAGAGTAGAGCACACATGCTTTATAACAAAGAACAGATCAGGGTTTTTATATATATATATATATAAACATATATATATAAAAATGTGTCTAACTTGAAGCTTTTTAATACTTAAAATGTTAAAAATCTGTCAAAATGAAACAACACACTAACGTTATATTATTCTCTTCTCTACAATACTCAAACAGGAAAAAAAATACTATAGGAAATCTACCTATTCTCTGGTATAAAATGAAATAACCACCACTTACACATCATTTAATGAAATAATCACCAACTAGATCACGTACATCAGTTAAGAGTAAATATAAACTTTCAGGTTGGACTTTAGATTCATTTACTTATAATTAAAGCCGATCAATATTTGTAGTTTTAACTATACACAAAAGAACATAAAAGAAGCAGCATACAAAAGAAGAAAAACAATAAGGAAAAGTATTTGGGAAAATCTGCATTGAGACCATATTCAATAAAAACTAAGGGATGAACTATACATAAGAATATGTGCTCACTTCAGGCAAGTCTGGAACAGAATGCTAAATGAAGGTCAAGTTATGTGAAAATAAAATGTGATAGGGTTTAATTCAAGTATAGCTTTTGTTAAAGGATATTGTGCAAATAAATGCAGTTCTCTCCTTTGGTRCAGTAACCCTGTATGTAAAACTTGCAGATTTCCTTTTTCTTTTCGATCTCGGCATCATGATCAAATTTACACTGCTCTCCCTATGAATAAGAAAACAATAGAAACGTTATGAGTCTGAAACTTCAAATAATCTCATTCCATACTGAAAACATCCTCCTTAGCTTAAACTTTTTATCTTTATTAACACAGAACTACATCCTAAGCATGTCCTTGAAAAACTACAAATTGGGCCCTGCTTATAGGGAAATAGTTCCTGAATCTGTAATCAAAATAATTTATGCTGATCTGATGGTCCATAGAAAACAGGCTCGTCTTACAGCAAGTAATTCTCTTTTTTGTGTCCACCTAGAAAACTGCACTTAAAAATGCATTAAATACAMCTGTTAGTGAAATTATATTCTTATATAATCAACTGCTGCAACTGATTAGAAAACATGATTCTTTTTTAAGGGAACAAGGGAAAACGGAAAGAGTCCAAAGTATTAAATCCTTTAYCATAGGAAGAATAAAGTCCAAATAATATGGTGTTTTATATCAACTGGATCATCTCACATATAAGAATTAGTTTGTTGGTAAGTTTTACAATCCTTTTAACTATTTTCAGGGAAAAAAGAAAAAACAGAAGAAGTGCTCTTACAGCTATTTGTTTTAAAACTGAAGGTGGCAGCAAATACTCATCTTACTGAACATAACGGATATTAATACTAAGATATATAAAGTCATCAACACATGCATTTCTTTCAATTTCCCCCCATTTTGGGAAGAGCACACTAATTTTCATTTTTACTTTCRCCATCTGAAAAAGAATCAGAAAATGATCTAAATACACAAAAACTAAAACTAACGGATGCACTTGCTTGTCAATTTTCTGAATTGTGTTTTATCASGGACTGGACTGGAAACTGGAAAATTCTTACACACACACACTTCTGTTGGCACAGAACAGACAGACAGGCACAGTGCATAATTACCTTAATACACCTCCCTTCAAGGAAATATTTACAAATTTGTTTGCCTTTATGTTCCACTGTATGCTGATTTATGAATTCCTGACTCATATTCACCCATTTCTTCATTGGCTTGCCATCCTGTAAGAAAAAAGGAAGAACATTCTATTAGTGCTTATTTACTAAGTGCAGCTGTAAAAATATTACATTACATTACAAATATTGGGAGTATTTAGTGCAACGGTTACATGAAACAGGATTAGCTATATCACGATTTGAGTTCTTAATAATATTATACTCACATCTTTAAGYAAAGGCAAATGCATATACTTTTTCTTAGCTTTTTTAACGCTAAACCTTATACTCTTTTATAAACATAACTAAAGCAGAAACTTCTTACAATGCARCAGGCACAAGTGCCACCATCTCCACTGCTCTGATGTGAAATAAGCAGCACTTAGTTCCATGGGTGTCCAAAACTGAGTGGTTTTGGGGTCCACAGTGCTAACAGCTTGTAGTCCACAAAAACCTCAGCTTTTAACCTGAATCAATTACCGTGAGAAATACATTGATTAATGTCTGGTGTTTTCACCTTAAAGACAAAGATCAGAACGATGCTCTTCTCAGTGGTGGCCACAGATAGGACAAGGGGCAATGGGTTCAAGTTGAAACCCAGGCAGTTCCACCTGCGTGTGAGGAAGAACTTCTTCACTGTGAGGGGGACAGAGCCCTGGAACAGGCTGCCCAGAGAGGCTGTGGAGTCTCCTTCTCTGGAGGTCTTCAAAACTTGGACACCACCCTGTGCCCGTGCTCTGGGTGTCCCTGCTGGAGCAGAGGGGTGGGCTGGATSATCTCTAGAGGTCCCTTCCAACCTCAACCATCCTGTGATTCTGTGAACTAGCTCCAGYATCCTTTACCCTGGTCCAAATCCTTTCTCAGTATCCACCTTCCACCACCTTCCTGCCTCAAATTGAGAGCAGGCCGCTACACTTGTGACACAACTGCTGCTTCACAGCATAAGCAGGCAGACTGTAGACACATGCTTGAGAAGAGCAAGTCCCTGACACTTCTGAGAAGGAAGCAGGAGAGCAAGATCAAACAGAAGCTGAGCTGCTGCAGGTCTTGCTAGCACTGCCCTTGGTCCTCAGGGAATCCTAAAATCAGAGCTTAGGYTCCTGTCTATCTTTATTGCTCCTTCATGTGTCCACTGCCATCAAACTCATGTTCCACGTAATATCCATGCTACCAGGATTTATGTTGTCAAGCTCAAACAAATCAACTCACTCATTATTATTTATCTGTAACTGGATAGTTAGAAGCATGGCCTGTAGCGGAGTCAGAAGATGAACTCTGATCATCAGATTTCCATATTTATCTTGACCACAAGGCCATACTTTGCCAACTCTTTCCCTCTCCATGAAACTATGACATGCATATTATCTCCGCTCTTCTTTCCCCCACCAGCAGAAAAACAACATGTTTGCTTATAATGTATGAAGCAAAGCCGAGATGAAGCACAATTTAGTCACAATCCACCACGTAAAATTCGCTACATATCTGGTGAAGGCAAAGAGTTCTTGGGATTTCATTCCCTCCTGGCATCTGCACTTAAGATAAGCTACAGAAACTGATGCAAACTCATTAAACTAGAGAGAGAAGCAGCTGAGAGCCTGACCACGTCAGTCTCTACATGGTTACTAAGCTTGCTCTGCAGATGGGAATTGGAAAAGAGGAGTGAGCAGCCTAGTCAGAAAGGAAGGGCGAGCAGCTGGTCTGGGACTGACAAGGGGGCCTGTCTGACCAAGGAGAAAGTCAAGGCAGGACTTGAACTTTACTAAGTTGCTGTATGTGACGTATCACACGGTAGAAAGGAACATCTTATCTGCAATACAARGTGGTTGCCTGTTTGATAGGATTAGAGCCGGCAAGAGAGGATTTCTGATTTTAAGTGAGGACTCCTGGATTTCTGATTTTAACAAAAACCCAGAGGGACCTGATGGTTGAGTAGGAAATTCTGAAATGGGGTGGATGTGCTTCTCCAGAGTGATCCCCCTGGGAAGCACAGGCACCAGCGCATCAAGCGTCTGCTCTCATTTTGCTCGGCAAATTAATGTCATAAAACGTTACCGCTAGGAATGATTAGCAAACTTGTGTGCGTTGAGAAGCAAAATCGCCAAGCTAGAAATGCCTCCTGGATGAGTCAAGACACATTTGGTATCTGCACACATCGAAATTGAGGAAACCTCAGTACTACAGACAAGGACACCTGGAGTCTAACACTTGATCCCCTTCAAGATTAACAAAAACGTGCCAGTGAAATGATCCCTAAGTCCTCCCGGGGGCACTGTGAAAGCAGGGCCTGCCCCACGCCGCCAAGCACTCGAAACAAAAGCTTTCCGAGGGGGGAAATGCTGCAACTGTGTCATCCAGATCCCAGGGACTTCACTGCGCCGCTGAGGAATTGCGACATGTAACCCAACCTACCCGGGAACCCTGCATCTGCRTGGCAGGAGTTGGTGTTTTGCTGTAGCCAGGAGCCCAGCTTTTTGTTCTCTGTCTTTCTAGCCCTGCCTGCAGCTGCCTCTTGGTCTCCACCCATCGCCACAGCTTGGGAGAACGAGCTGGATGACAGGGCATGTTCTACAGAAACAGGAGGGAGGAGTTCTATAAACCAGGCATCCTAACGGATCCAACTGCTTCCCTTTACCCTACCACACACAGGCCAGGGAAAGGAAAATCTGATCCGGACCACCCAGAAGCCCCAGACAGTTGGGCCATCTGGAGAGCACAGGGGAAAAAAAAAAGAAAATAAATAAATAACAGGGCTGAATTATACATTAACACTTATTTTTTAATGAGAAGGCAGCCATGAGCATTCTGCAACACTAGAGGGAGAAAAAGTACCAATGTCTTAAGGAGCTAGATATACAAATTGTTGCCTTAGCATCTTATCTCGTGGTATAGAGATTTATCTATAAGTTTGCTAAAATAGTCTTTTGGGGCCGTGGACGGATTTCAGGGGTTTATCATCAAGTTTGTTCTTTTTTTTCATGATGAATTTATGAATACAAGTGGTGATACTAAATGTTACATTTTCTCTACATTCTGTGCAAAGCATTACAAAGCGAAAACAGAAGTCAGACATATTATCATTTCCAAAGCTAAAGCTATGGAAAAATGGAGAATTCTTCACAATTCAGATAAAAACAAGAAAAAGTTATAAAAATGGCTGTCTTGTCTGAAATCCTCCAGCTGAACCAGTAGCAGCAAAATATCATCTTTCAGAAAGAAACCAAAATTATGTTAATTTGTCCAAAATTAAAAYCCCATTCAGAACCAAAGCTCATAAACCTCTTTCTGCTAGTCTCTCATTTCCAAGAAAAACAAGAAAAGGATCTAATTGATTTAAGCTATCAGCTGTACTTCTTACATCAAGCTACGGAAAATTCTAGCAAGGGATTTTTAACTTTTCTCTAGAAGAGGACACAGAGTGAAAAAAATACATATGTATTTAACCATTCTTTTGCTAAAATAAAGTATGTGGTCACTTGCAAATAAACATATTCAGCAGTTAACTTTTAATTCCACACACCTCGTGAAAGCCATCGGATCCTTTATTGCCCCCTCTCCCCCTTCCGCGGTCTTTACGCTTCAATTTCTTCTGCATCCCACGCCCTCGGCCAATGTGGTAATTATTACCTCTTTGAGAAATACCTGGAAAACAACAAGAAACAGTTCAGATAACTTCCCTCTATGTTTTTCAAGAAGACATCGTCCCACTATTATTCTCCCAATGCACAGGTCATTTAAAGAATCCCCATGGAAATTATTTATGGTCTAGGGAATGCGATGCTTGTGCATCTCCATTTCTCTTCCCAGGCAACCTGTAACTATCAGTACAGAAATAATTCTCAAACCTTGGGGGTTTTGAGGGCTCCTTCATGTACGCAAGTCCTCCCTGGACATGAATGACAGCACAGTGCAGTTTAGGTGCAATTATATCAGGCCTACTGATGTGGTGGTAAATTCATTCATGAAAAACTACTAGATTACTGAGCCACATTTCAGCAAGATTTTTTAAGATTATTTCCAAAACAGAAAAAAATAGTATTTATTATTGAGTGAAAGCAAATGTTTTAATGGAAAAAAAAATGTGCTATGTTTTACTCTTTATTCCCTTCAGTTCCAATAATGCAACACATCCCTTACAGCCTCTCATCAGGGATAACCGAGTTATAGCACTGAAAATGTTACAACTGCATCTTGTACCTAATTCAGCTTTAATTTGCACTCCTATTAAGGATGCAATAAACAGAAGTGGTTTAACAACCATCCAYGAGCCTTCTCCAGTTATTATCACGCCAGAAAGATTTAAGAAGAAAATAAAACACCCAACATTTAAAAAAACAGCTCAGATGCAAATTCTTAGGGGGAGTGAAAAGAAGTTGAAGGTACTGATGTAGCTCTAACAGAGAACATACATGCAGGACTACAGGGTTAGAAAGCATGCAAAATCCTTGATCTGCTCCTTAACTCACTTATATTTAAATAAATAAATAAATAAATAAATAAACCATAACACTTCTCCTATCTCAAATTAAACGCAAACATTAGCAAAGGTCATAAATCATTTAAAAAATTGCTTTCCACTTGGCAACATTACACATCATCTTCAGATAAACTTTGTCTCCTGTTGAAACAGGAGTATCAATTTTGCTAGTTTGTCCACTTTCTGAACAGTGAATTAACAAGTGCATATGTGCAGCTAGGCATATATATATCCTGTTTTGTTATTACAACATGCAAGGAAGCTGAGAACCCAAAAAATACGGCAGAAGAACTTTGAATACTGCCGTGTTTAATGGCAACTGTTTGGAAGCTCCATCTATTCTAGGTGGTAATTATCCAAGCAAATGAACAGTCATGGTCTCAGTATCAGGAGGGAGCACCTCCTTTCACATCAATTAAAAAATAAATAAAATAAATAAAAACAAGAAGCAATTTCTTCTATCCATGCCCCTGCTACAGGTGAGAGTCACTCCATCACAGCCAGCACGATTTCTAAATCAAGCAGTCACCCACCTAAGACGTTCTTCTTTTGGTAAGATGTATTCATTACAGAGCATTTGACCTCCTTCCTCAACATATACAGTGTGAATTTATGACTTTAGTTCCTACTGACTTTGTTTTATAATTTATGACTTTATTTCCCACTGCTTATCCCTTTGGGATGGGAGAAGCTAGGACACAGCTCCCCCCTGGCAGCTTTCCTCATTCAGCTACCAACACAAAGATCCTCAAACGATGCACGTCAGAACTGTGACTGTCTCCTGTTACTGCAGCTGCTTACTGAGGTGCAACAGAATGAGGGGAGAGATGCAAGGAAGAGGGAAAAGGAAAGGTGAAGTGACCAGAAGCCAACTAAAGGCACAAAAGTTGCACCGAGAAACATTTTGGGTTACTGAAATAAATATGAGATATTGGCACTAGACCCTCAARGAAAAAAGAATCACCACAAAGCATGTATGTGCACCGAAATGCTGCATGCTGGAATTCTTTTAACACCTTTTTGTTCCATCATTAAAATTGTATGACCCCATTCTGATGCACAACAACAGAGCTAACCAACCAAACRACCTTACCTTTCTGGATGCCTTTCATCCCTTGTTTTTTCACTGGTTCTTTAGGAAATGGAGGCCCTAAATCAGGGTTAGAAGTCTCTTTAGACTGCCTGTATTGTTTGAGTTGATCAGCAAAATCTTCGTCTTTTTCCTCCTCGTTATAATTACCGAAGTTTTCATCGCTGTAATGACTATATTCATCATACTCCTTGCTTTTTAGACTTTTTTTATGTTGCATTTTCTGGGAACTCATGTAATTTCCTGATAAGTGTCCATGCTGTAGAAAAAGGAATTGCGTTTTTCAGAAAAGACTCAGTCCTTCAAACATCACCCCTCCCCAAASAGCTCTACAAAACTAATTATTTTTATGCTTTTTTCAATGTCATTATTATCGCTATTATCCTTTCACTACTATCCAGGTAAAATCAATTATTCCATAAAAACACATATTTTTATTTTGAACAGATCAAAAAAAGGAAAAATATTAAAAAGAAAAGCATCAACATTTGTATTCCACAAACTTTTCAGAGGTCAAGAAAGCATTTTAACATGTGTAAAACTATATACTCTAAGCACTACTTCTTCACAGATCTGAAAGGTTTTTTTTAAAAAAAAAGGAGTAAAATGAGTAAAAAAAAAATACAGCATGAGTGAAAAAATAAAAAGCATTGCTTAGAGCATGTTCAGATCACAGAAAAATATTATGCATTCAGATGCCTCGGAAATGTGTCTACAACACATATGTAAGACTGTTTTGCCAGAACTTCAGAAATTGCTTGGCGTCTCTCAAGAAGCAAGGCCAACCAACCTGTGCAGGTTTGCAGTATAGAACACTCAACAACCACCAAAGTTGGTAGGATTAAAATAAGAATCAAATGTTCACATTAATAATGGTTTATTATTTAGCCGCAGCAGGCTTAATTAAATTTTAACTTTTTATACTCAATTTATGAATAGCTAATAAGAACCATGACTTAGGGGTTTTTGGTTTTTTACTTCCTGAGAATCTTGGAYCTGGAAGATGCAATCTGTTCAGAACAAAATGCTCATTACAGGCACTGCTACAGCCACCGCGCACTGTCCTGCTCCACTGCGTGCAAACAGGRTCTTCACTTTTTAACAAGTTAAATTGGCTGAAGGGTGTTTTGGAGTGGTTACAATTCGAAAACAAAGTCTCTTTTCCTCTGAAGTAATGAAATTTCATAAGGTCTGTAGCTACTCTCCTGTCACTAGTCACTCTGTCCCAGARTTAGAGAATTGCATTCAGTTTTGCCCGGTGTTCTCACAAGGACTATGAAGTAGCACAAACTGAAAAAAAGCCAGGACAAATCAGTCAATCTGAAGGCAGATACCACTCTACATTTTTAAAAGTGGCTTTCTGAGGGCTGCTTCCTCTTCTGTAGTACAGCCTAAATCCAGTATAGGCAAAAATAAAAACAGATCAGCTGCTACCTGATAAAGGAAATACAGTGTCTCACTTGTTTGAGCGACCACTAGACGTTCATACCACATTTGAAAACCTTTCAAAGGAGTAGATCTTCTGCAATCCATCAGAATGGGCACAACGAGCAAGGCAGCCTTCATAAACAGCATTATATAGAGTCCCATCTTTTCAAAAATTGCAAGTAAATACAGACCCAAGGAATGAGTTTTAAAAATATTACCTGAGAGAATGAAGAATCATAATCTCTGTAAGAGCTACTACTCTTTTTATGCGGTCTCTCCGTACGTTCAATATCAGAGTCATGGCTGTAGTCTGAACTATCATCACTGGAAGGGGAGTTATGCTGGGGAAAAAAAAGGAAGAAAATCTCTGTCAGAAGCTGTTAAGCAATGCATTAGGTAAGAGGTCTACTGAATTAAAGGAAGCATTAGCCCACAAYATGAAGATATTTTCTTAAGTCCCACAAACTTCTGCTTCTAACGAGAGCCAAAGTGCATTCTTTGATCATTCTGAATGATCCAAGATGAYTGATCCAGTGAAGCTTTTGGAATGGAAACCTCTCATGGCTCTCATTGCATGGGTTTTCTTTAGGTTGTAACAGCTTTTTAAGCATCCTCTGAGTCCTGCTCCTTGGAAACACAGCAAGGATGTGGCTAAAAGGCTAACAGATATGGGAGACRTCTAGAAGCTTGCATATGACCAAGGAAAAGATCATTTTCTGATAGGCAGTGGGAAGGTCTCTATGTAATTTATGCTCCTGAGGAAATCAGTCGCTGCTACAAACAGCCTCCCCCAAAACATCTGGACCTCCAGAAGCCAGGACCTCCACAAACAGCCTATTTTAAATCCCCTACAACTACTTTGCTGCTGCTTGCTGTTCTGATAACTCCTTGGCTTCCTCCTTATACAGTATGCACCACTACTTCAAGCTGCAGGCACACTATTTCTTTAAAATACTTATTTTGTGCTATTTTGGCAACAACAACTGATGGCAAAGAGTACATATTTTTACAGTATTTTGGAACATATTTTGTTTAAAAAACAATCTTGCATCGCTAAAAGCAAATACACACCAGCTCCTGGGGTTCATTTATTTTGTAAAAGAAGCAGTTTTACAAACATAAATTGCAGGGAACTGCTTGTATTGGAAAATATGGCTGTGCTACAGTTGACAAGATAATACCAAGACTCCCATTTAGTCCAAATCTTTTCTAAAAATATTTCTAAACAATATTCTCGAGTTAAGCCTTTCTCCCTGAATCCCTGTTATTGTTCCCTGCATTCATCATGTTAATCATATTAGTGATTATGTCATGTCATCATATTGTCACGAGCATGTCAACCATATTAATGTTCTACTTGGTACACTGTTTTGCAAATAATGAGACAGAAAACCAATTACAAACAAACTCTAATTCTTTGCCCTCTGTCTCAAAACTACACTGGAATAGTATAGTCCATTTTCTAAAAGTCATAGAACTATGAAGTTTATTTTTTGTGGGAAAAAAACTGTGAATCTTTTGCATTTTTTGAAGCCAATTAAGACATAATTATACACATTATCTTCAGGGCATATTTCCTGAGGAGTTCAATGAGCTGATATGAATTCTTTTCTCTCTGTGAATATGATGGTAAGCAGAACAAGTAATTTATATTATGCTTCTTATTCTAAAACTTTGTCTCTTAATGGTTCAGCCACCATTATCTGCTGTTAGTGGCCAGAGTCATTAAGTTACGGGGTTGTTTAAGGTTAAAAGTATTTAACTAGCGGTGTAATTTTTACAACAGAATTACCACAGGGACTGACAATGGCAGAGTGAAATGCTTGTAAATGACAAYATTTTGTAAACTCTTTTTAAAAGAAATATTGAAGAAAATAGGCAGGCAATGAAGATGCATATCACAAATAATACTTACACTCACCATGCAGCTTCTTTTAAATACAAACAGATGAAAACAAAGTTATAATAACGTATCTAAACAAAGCCAACAAGTTTCTAAACTATCACTTATAATACGCRATAGCTGGATGACTTAATGATTTACTAGCTCTTAGCCGACACAAGTTGCCACTGAAAGGAGTGAATATGCACTCTTGTGTAACTAAAGTTTATTTAGCCATGTAGTTTAGTACTGAAACTGTAGTTCAGTGTTCAAAGACTACGTAATTAATGCTAAAATTGTCTTCTAGGCTTCTTGTCCAATTTCTTGGATAAGGAAAAGATAAACCTGGAATTCAAAGAAGCACCACCAGTATTTTGTTTTTCAGTTCCTAACCTTATGCTTATCCCGTCTTCTCCTTTTTGACTTCTTCTTTTCTTTCTCTTTTTTGCGTTTCTTCCGGGATTTTCTATGTCCCTTGTCGTTTTTCTGTTTATCGTCACTTTTTGTACTATGTTCTTTAACATCTTCAAGCGCCGCATCATCTATTTCACCATCTTCCAGTTCTCCATCTTCTCTGTAGGACAAAAAATAAAAAGTACATAACATTACCCATCACATCCATCCAACAACATAGTAAATCAAAGACACTTCTTATTTCTTTCATTGAGTTACATTTTTTATACATCTGCACAGGCACTTTAACACCCATTAATACTCCCAAAACAAATGGAATTCCAGGATTTTCTTTTAAATAAAAATATAGTGGAAGTTGTTAAATACCTTTAAATTGTATTGCGCTATAAAAGATAGCCTATAAAACATGGACATTTTTGTATTTTTTATATATACTTAAAAAAAAGGGGGGGGGGGGAACAATGGCTGTGGCTCCTTATAGCTTTCTCCGACTACAAACACAGTTTTAATATATAACACAGAGTTGCCCTTAAATGTATTTCACCCTGAAGAGCTACTTTAGCCATTTATAGAAATACTGCTATTTAATYCTTTCACTTACTACGAAACCCACAACTTGGCTTAGTCTGCAGACACTGGAGTCGTGTGCCTAATGGAGCCAAGGAATAGCCAAGGGTGCGTCTAAGCTGTCGCATTTGCAAAAYAGACGTGGTCAAAACTAGGGTAAGTTCAAGCTGTCTGCAAACTGGACACTTAGGAGTAAATTAATGAAAACAAGCAGCTGGGTACTAAAGGGGGAAACATCCCAAAATACCATCCCCAAATGAACACATTTTCTTGTGTTTACCAGATCCTGGAAGCCARGGGGGATCTGTAGCAGCAATAACTGCAAAGCTCCTGTTTTGCATGAGCAAGAAAAAGGGACTGCTTCAGAAAGAAGCCTTGCAGCCTTTCTCCTACGTAGCATCAGCAGCTCAGAAAATAAGCTGGATTTAACCATCCTAGGCAAAGCAGGGTGAATAGCAACTAATATCATCCCTTTGACTACTTTATCTGTAACACAGGGCCTTCACAGGGCCTTAATATCTAAGGATAACAATATTATGAGCGATTCCAAAAGGCAGATTTATTCTGTAGGGTAAGCTGATTCTGTAAAAATGAAAAAAAAAAAAGAAAAAAAAAAGAAAAAAAAAAGTAACAGTTAACTGAACATTTGCACTTTATTTGGTGAACTCTAAAAACTCCCAGGGAAAGACATGGGATGATGTTATTCTAGCCAAGGCAGTCCAGGTTTCTGCTTTTTAAAATTCACAACAATGAATTCGTGGGGCAGAGGAGGACGGGAGCTGTTTCCTATRTCACAAAGTAGAAATATTTCCTCAATAAATACTGCAGATGGAGCAATGCGCACATGAAGCTAACTTCTGAATATGAAGGTCAACTAGCTCAAGAGGCTTTAAAAGTTGGAGTGACATGAGAAGATCATCCAAAAAGATAAGTTTTAATAAAAATGCAACACTTGTAAGAGTTTGTAGCGTAAAAGGCAGAAGAGATTGTGCTCATCTCCAACAGCACAGGAAAAAAACAGTTTCCATGGCTATTTGAGCCTCTAAATAATACTCCCTACTGATCAAAACAAAAATAATCCTGAAGATATTTTTGCCATGAAAGCCAACAAAGTGACCAACACCTTATTTTGAACCCTCTTTTCAGGCATTCTACTGCAAGCAACATTTTTTTCTGCAGCAGTTACAACYCCTTTTCTACTGTTTGGTATTTGTAGGGTTTTGGTTGTTGAAGAACACGCTATTGTCGAACTTACATAGAGCCAATTACAGAACTGCTTTTACCTTGCATTACACTGAAGGAATCTGGGCTTTGTGGGCACCAGAAAACCTTTCTGAAACTCAGCCCTGCTCTTTTACGTAGAGAGCACTAGAAAACGCCATGAATCCTATGGAGTCTGAAATCACCACTCCATAAAAGTATCAGATTCACCAGAGAAATAACAGAAAAAAACTGCCACATGGGGGCAGCAGGGAGGTAAGGACATAAATAGCAGGAAACTCAAGTATGAAACGGAAGGTTTCTTTCTGAATCACTGAAAACTGGTAAAAGTCAGAACCCTCGTTTACTATAAACAAACAYGGAATAACTTCAAGAGGATATTACTGGCAGCACCAGCCACAAGACAGCACTATCAGCAAAAACAACACTTAAAACACTGAAAAATAATAGATGAAAATAAGTAAGAGCTTTTAAAACTTGTTTTTCTCCCTGAGGAGCACTACTTGGTGGTCCTGCAAGCTTTGCTCACGTTGCACATACCATTCTTTTCTGCTCTAGGGTCTCTCCTTCTCCCCACAACAGACACACTCAGTATTGTCACTGCCCTCTGTTCTGATTCCAGAGAACTAGTTCCTGTTCTTTCAACRAAATGACTGTAAAAACTTTTCTATGACTTTAATATGAACAATAGCAGCAACTAAATGACTTGCGAAGTGCTGAGCTACTGGGTAATCCTCCAAGCAAATGGAAATGGTTTGGGAAACAATTTGTTATTCACAATGCAAACACCTGCTGGTCTGGATGCTACTCAATGAACAGGGCACAAAGTAAAACACAGCGCTAAGGAGGGGGAAAGTAAAAGGCAAAAGGAGCTTCCATTTAATGGAAAAATATTAATATTACAATATTTTTGTATATAGTTAGTTTGGAAGACTCAGAGTCTTTATCAGCAGGCATCAGGGTTGTAACGGTGATGCTCAACTATGCAGATAAAGGTTGAGCTTAGCTTTTGCACAGTCAACAATTCCATATATAAAATGAGCAGATAATCACTGAAAATGAAACATTTAAAACTGGTCTGAAAGCAGCACAGGAGTATTCCTGAAGCTGATCCTGAACACTACAGAAATTCTTCCAAACGTGACAAATGGTGCTTTTTAAAAAGTTATGAATTGCTGAGTGCCCAGTCTTCTGCAGCAATTATTTCTCCTGAATTCTACTTATTTTCATTTGACCTTCATCAACCCAAATAACATTAGAGCAGAAATAAYTAGACTCTACTAGAAGAGACACAGTAAGAACTAAAATTTCTCCCTGAATTGAAAAYAAATCAATGATGATAAAACCAGACGGGAAAATAAACAGGAGAAATTTCCTGCATGAAATCCTCTCTTGAGTCAGGCTTCAAACATATTCCATTTTGCATCCTCCTTCATCTACAGATATTGCTTGAATTGGCAGATGAGCGACTTCCACAAAAAAAAAAATCACATAAAGACCCGCAAATGACTTTGCAACTTTGACTTTTGTGTCACAGCATTACAGAAATACGTGTTACATGTTACTAACTCTTTGGTAGCTSTGATGATTACACCAGACATACAGACGTTTAAAATCAATCCATCTCCAACAGATCGATTCGGATTCTCTGTATGGATTTCCTTGCAGCGCAGCTGACATTTTTGGTTGCACAAAAGCAGCAGCTTAGACTTTCCTCCATCCTAATGACAGCAAGTTAATTCTTTGGAAGCTAAGGAAAAGATATTTCAGACGACCTTCTCAAGGATCACTCACAGAACTTGGTTCTATTGCAAGAGCATTTTAGCTCGGATTAAAACGCAGGTAGTTTGTACTGGAATGACTTTAGTGCAGCTATTTCCAATGAAGAGGATAAAAAAAAGACTTATATGACTTCATTTTATATGAAAAAAAAAAGAAAATAATTTTGGTATGTTGAAAATTGGAAAATTTTGGCATGAAGAAAATAATTGTGGAATGTTTAAATCTGCAACACCTTCTCTGAAACAAAACCACAACCAAAATTTTTGTAAAGCTTAACCCCCCAAGTATTTTTGTCACACAGCCGGGACACCTGATCCTCCGGTCAGCGCTCAAACTTTGTGAAATATGAGAATCAAGATTGAAGAGAAGGCACTCGGCTTGAGAGGAGAGGGCAGGCGTACTGCTGAAGTGCAGCTCTATCATCTGAATTACAGTTCGCATCTGTTTACCTTTTGTAAGTCTGTCAATTAAAAAGAGAGTATTAAGACATACATTAATGATATAGCATCTATAGGATTTCCCTCTTTCTGAGCAAAAAATCCAAATTCGATGCCTGTCCTTTAGAAACAAAGCTAGTGTCCGTTTTTTTGGTCCAGTTTAGGCCATAACCACTTTCCAGTCCTGATGCAACCTCAGAGAAACTTGAAGGGCTTAACAGACTGCAAGAGAAAGAYGGCAAGAATCCTCCAGGAAAAGAGCCAACAAGAAACCTGGCTGAAATTCTCAGGGCGTCCCATTGTAACAGGACTCAGAGCTAGGAAAACAGCTTCAATTCTCGCAGCTATTTGCCAATACATGGATCTAGGGCAAGCCTGATAGAGTAAAATTGGCCTCTTTGGCCAACGTGAATATGGAAATCACAGAAGGTKGAAAGATATAAGAAGAAATGGGGGAGACTGAATTTCCACCTGTGCTGCAGTGTGCAAGAAAGAACCTAGCAGCATCGGTGTCAYGTCTGGTCGTTTATCCTTCAAAGGAAGGCAGCATTTTCCACRTGCAGTGGCCCACTGCTGCCAGGATGGACCGTGTCACTTCCAGCACTCCGTGTTTTGGAGAATTGCTGGCTCGGTTTGCTCTGGTGTTCCTGGACAGAAAGCTGGGCAGACAGAGATACAGGTTTACCTTTTCCTGAGAAATCCAGCTATTTGCGGTGTGTGCTGGCACACGCAGGCTGGGCAGGACAGGTTAGAGCACTCTGCTGCATTGCTCAGGAAAGCCAGTTTAGAGCGTACTAAAAAGGGCAGGTTGGGATGGGTCCCTGTGACCTGTGCTGAGCAATGGGAACCCAAAAGACAGAAGACTGAGAATATTAGATCTTCAGGCTGCCCTAAAAGGAAGATCAACAGGTTCTGATTAATTGTAACGTATGATTGGGAGGGTCAGCAACCTCTGAGAAAAAAAAAATCTCCACCAATAAGTTCTGCTGAAAACAAAGAACYTGGGGCTGATCTCAGGTGGAGGTAGAAAAAAGGCAAGGCTGAGAGGGGCAGCMCTTCATTTGCCCAGAAGCTGCACTCAGCAGGGGATGAACTGGAAGCCGGGGTTGCCTTAAACTGTGGAGAAACGGGAAGGTCTAATCCATGCCTAGGG